CTCCTTGGAGCTTTTTCTTTGTTCTCAGGCTCTGACTCCCAGTTTTGCAATGAGCTTCTGGTTTGTAGCAACAGGTGTTGAGCTGAAACTGATCTCCTGCACTCTTAAAACTCATTCTGTTCTCAGTTATCTGCTTCCCTGTGAGGTCCCTGCAGTGGCAGTTGGTGGAGGGACACTCTAATCTCTGCTCTGGGCTACTGAAAATGCAGGGAGTGCTCAGCCAGGAATGTCTTCATGTTAGTGGGTGCCAATATTTGGTTTGGGAGGGCAGATTGGGGTGAGGTGGGTCTGTATTTAACCAACATCTTAAAGTGCAGCCTGTGTTTTATGTGCAGGAGCAGTTCCTAGTCCCAGATCACACCATCAAGGACATCAGTGGTGCTTCCTTTGCTGGTTTCTATTACATCTGCTTCCAGAAGTCAGCAGCATCTATAGAGGGCTATTACTACCATAGGAGTTCAGAATGGTAAGGAAGTCTTCTGAAGGCTTAAACCAAGCTGTGACTCTTCTCCTGCTTGTCCACAACCTTGGGAGTGTCCAGGCAGGAGATTCAGTCTGGTGGTTGGACCTTGGGGCAGAAGGGAGGGGTGTGGGCCATGACTGGCCTGAGCAGGCTGGTGCAGTCCATTGGTGTGGTATAAAGTGCTGCCCTTACGGAAAATGGGGAGAAATTTGGGCTGGCAGGGTGGAGGAGGAAAGATGATACAGGCTTTGGAGAAGTGCTGTGAGGGAGCTCAGTTCTCCCTCCTAAGAAACAGCTTGGCTGTTGCTCCCTTCAGGCAGAAATCTTGTCAGGCCAGTGTTTTATATTCTGAGGTCCTTGGGGTGTTGCTGTTAAGACAAGAGAACAGTCAAAGCTAATTGGTGGAGTTTTTGTTAGAGACAAAGAGCTGTGGAGAGCTCTTTTCCCTTGCATCATTGTCATGAGCAGCAGGTGGATGGCTGGAAGCTCTCAGGGGGAGGGAAGGAACCAGGAGGCTTTCAGACACATTCCCTCAAGCTGAGCTTTGAAAGACTCGAGTGTAATTTGCACTTGTAGCAAACACTGTTTGAACTTGAAAGTTGTTGAACTTCAAAGGGAGTCTGAAAAACCACCACAGTCAGGCCACCTGGAACGCTGCCTCGCTGCAGGTGGCTCAGAGGGACCAGAGTGGGAATTACAGGATCATTAAGGTTAGAAAAAACTTCCAAAAATCATCAAGTTCAACCTTTGACCGAATACCACCATTCCCACTAAACCCGAAATGTAATGTGTTTGATTTCTGAACACTTCCAGTGATGGTAACTTCACCACTTCCCTGGGCAGACTATTCCAGGTCTAAACCACTCTCTCAGTATGGATTTTTTTCCTCATGTCCAACCCGAACCTCTCCTGGCACAACTTGAGGCTGTTTCCCCTTGTCCTATCATTAGTTGTATGGGAAAACAGCCCGACCCCCACCTGGCTGCACCCTCTTGTCAGGGAGTTGTAGAGTGATGAGGAATGGTGCTGAGTCCTATCAGGATTTTGGCACTGTGAGAAGCGGGTGTTGGATGCCTGAACACTCTGGGACTGTAAAGGGAGAGAGAAGAGCAGCCAGCACAGTGTCTGCTGTGTGGCTGCCAAGCAGAAGCTCCATGTAATCCTCTCCTCCCTCTCTCCCTTCTCTGCCAGGTATCAGTCATTGAATTTAACGCACGTTCCCGAGCACAGTGCTCCTATCTACGAGTTCCGATGACAGCTGTCCAGATCTGATACCGCCCAGAAGCAAACCGGGCAGGAGAGCATGGCCTGCCAGGAGAACTGTGTCCCTGTGGGAGCACGGGAATGCACGCTTCTCTCCTGCCCCTTGGACTCGAGAGAGAGAGAGAGAGAGAGCCTGGATGTTAACTCACCCAGCCCGAGGAGCTGCTGGAGCTTGATTCTCCCTCCTGTCGAGTGGCCATTTGATCTTTACTCTGGTTTTAAGCTACTTTAATGCACTTTCTTGTTGCACAGCTCGTTTCTCTGTCACTGAAGTTCCTCCCGGCTCTCCTCTGGAAGCTGTTTCTCAGTAGCTGGAATCAGTGCTCTGGCTTCTGAGTAATGAGGAAATGTAAGCTCGAGGCTTGTATTTTCCTTGTTATATCCTAATGTGGGGTGAAATCACCAGGATTCAGGTTTCCTGCCCAGATTTCCAGCTCTGATGCTCTCAGAGCCAGGTCCTGGGTGTGAGGCTCAGCTGTGGAGTCTGTTGGGGGAGTGTTGGCTGAGGTAAGGCTGGAATGAGGCTTTGCTGGCTAACAAGGTTAGCTGGAGCTGCTGATCTTTCAGGAACGCCGGCCCTTTGGAGCTGGGAGCTGTTCCAGTGTCTGGATAGGCCACTGGGAATTAATTTGATGTACGGACTTCCAGGCTCTCAGTAAAGTGGATCTGAACTCTGCTTGTAGGTGTATATTTGCTCTTTACTTAAGTTAAGGGTAAAAAAAAAAAAAAAAGGTCAAAAAAAAAAAAAGACTTTTATTAAAAAAATATATATCTATTTTTATGGTTCCTTTTCCAAAGGACCCTATGGCAAATGCACAAGTACTCGATTCCATGTTACCGTTTTCACATTGAAAACCAGGAATGTGTGTTTTTATATCAGTGTCTGTATCCAGCTAAGCTTTGGGAACGTAAAGCAGGCGCTGAGCAGTGTCACCTTTGGACCTCTCAGCGTTTGTACTCCCCCTTCATGCTTCACCACCACTGCTTGACACCTTTTCAGAAGGAAAAACAAGAAAAAAGTTTAAAAAAAACCTCCTTCCCAGTATCTCCCTCTGACTCTGAATGTTCCAAGTGACATAACTTAAGGCTCCTGTGCCAAAGTGTGTGTGTGTGTACGCGTGTGGGGTGGTTTTTTTAAAGACACTTTAAAACTTGGCCTCAGTTGTGTTTTTACCTTGTCAGCCCCACCTGCGGGGTTTTGTGAGAGTTTAGTTTGCCTTTTTTTCTGGCTGTTTTAAAGCCCAGCTTCCTCCAAGCAGATGTGTGGCATAGCTGGTGCTAAGGATGGATTTTCCACCCAGGAGAGAGGATTGAAGCCTCCGCGTGCCGGCACAAGCTGCTTTGGGTTTTGCTTCTTTTTAACTAACTTCCTTTTTGGCAGCAGTTATCGCTTGTTCAAGCCTTAACAAGGAAGAATTCAGGGCTTGGAGAGCCCCTTTCCTCTATTCCAAGTTGGGATTTTGAGTGTTTGGAGGAGCAGCCGGGGCAGTCTGGGCAGATGATGCGGAATTTGCCCGTCTCGCGCGTGCTGTTCTCCGTGGATCAATCCTGCTCCCTGGCACGCTTGGAGAGAGATGCCTGGGGGAGAAAGGAGAGACCTGGCCCTTCCCAGGGAGTGTGTACTGGTGCTTTGGCTGTTGCTGGAGGATGTGCAGGGACAGCGCTGAGGTGATGTGGGGCTCCGAGCAGAGCAGTTGGGAAGGGTGTTCTTGTTTTATTTTGCTCCTCTCAGAGAAACTCAGCCCCTTTTGAGGAGAGGAGTTTCCTCACAGATGGTGCTGGGAGATGTCCTGGTTTTAGAAGTGAAAAGCAATGGTGCTGCTCCACTGTGACCAAGTGTGGGGGGTGAAACCTCCTTCCTAGGTGCTGTGTGAGTGCAGGGACCCAGCTCCAACTGCTCTTCCCAGCCCTCTGGAGCTGTATGTGCAATGCTGGTGGTGGCACTGGTGTCCCTATGCTCCCCGGGGCTGTCAGTGCCAGCGGGACACTTGGCTTTCTGATATGGTTTAGTTGAATTAACCCTGTTTGTTGGCAGAAGCTGAATTAGGATGGTCTTGGGGGCATTTAACATGTGTAACTATCCCTAAACTAATGAAGTTGGGGTTTTGTTAAGACTTGATATGTTGTGAGAAAGGTGTGGAAAGAGCATCCTGCTATGTGCCTGCCTTCTTCCTATCATCCTGAAGGGAATTTCAGCTTAGATCCAGAAGGGTCTGGATGTGATGTGTGGCAGGTGCAGAGCAGGTTGTGGAGCTGAAGGTTTTTCGGGGGCTGTTGGTGTGTGGATTTTTCCCTCCTCAAAGGCCTTTGCTTTGGTTTTTCCTTTTCTTTGACCTGTTTGATTTGAGGGGAGATGTACGTCGTGGTGTGGTGAGAGAGAATGGCCCGGGGAGGATTTGGGGGCAGAGGTGAGAAATGGGGTGTTTGGGCCTGGGAGAGGATGTGGTGTTCCTTGAACCACTCTGGCTGCAGCAGGGTGTCCCTGTGGGAGCAGAGGGTGTCCTTTTGGGGGTCGAGGAGGAGTTTTGTGGAGCGATCAACGTCCAAATTAAACATGAACTCTATTGAAGGGGTCTGTGTCCGTGTGTGTTTGTCCACCACAGCACTTCCTGGTTCCAGGGGATTGCTGTGCTTCATCTTCCTTGAGGGCTTCTCCAGGAATCCCAGCAGCTTCTGATGGCCTTAACTCACAGGCTCTCAGAATCATTAAAGCTGGAAAAGACCCCTGAGAGCATCGAGTCCAGCCTGTGACCGATCCCTCCCCCCACACACCTTTTCACTTGGTGGCACTGAGTGTCACGTCCAGTCTTTCCCTGAACACCCCCAGGGATGGGGACTCCACCAACCTTCCTGGACAGCTTGTTCAAATATCTAATCACCCTTTCGGGGAAGAAATTCTTCCTGATGCCTAACCTGACTGCCTCCCTGGCCCCCGCGGGCTGTTTGCTCGTGTCCTGTCGCTGGTTGCCTGGGAGAAGAGCCCGATCCTCCCCGGCTCCACGGTCCTTTCAAGATCCAGCCTTAATTAGAGAAGCAAGAGGAGGCAGTCTCAGCGGGAGACTCCCCTTAACACCACCCCTGCTTTCTGAGACCTTTCCCTTTGAGCCTCTCCCTCCTGTCCCCATCTCTCGCTCCCACGCCGGGGTCGCCTCCCTGGGGCCCCTCCCGGTGCCCCGGCGGTGACGGCGGGCGGAACCCAGGGAGCGGGGCTCGGGGCGCGGCCGGAGCTCGCAGTGCGGCGCGGCCCGGACGCGTGACGGGGACGGACGGGCGGGCCGGCGGCGCTTCCGGCGGGCGCGGAGCGGGGCCCGCCATGGGCATCCTAGAGAAGATCTCGGAGATCGAGAAGGAGATCGCCCGCACGCAGAAGAACAAAGGTGCGGAGGGCGCCCGGGGGCTGAGGGACCCGGGGACAGCGGGCGGGCAGGTGGGCTGGAGGTTTATGGGGGGCTGGCGGTGTGAGGGGCTGTGCGGGGACACGGGTAGTCTGTGAATTATGGGACGAGCTGAGAGAGGTCCGAGGGAAGAGAGGACTGGGGGCTGTGGGGAGTCTGGGGGTCAGGTGGGCTGCGAGTTATAGCGGGCTAGGAGAGAGTCTGGGGACTGTGGGGGGCTCGGGGTTGTGGTGCCTGGGAGGGGGTTTCTGAAAAGAGGTGCCGGTCAGGGCTATGGAGGAGGCAGAATGGGGATGGTTTGTAAAGCTGGGGGGTCTTTGGGGACACAGAGGGTGGGATCCGCGGTGCTGGGAGCTGGGGCAGGCTGGGGAGCAGGGTTAGCCCTGGGCTGGGGTGGGAGTGTGTGGGGAGTGCCCTCTTTCCTGCCCGGAGCTGGGAGCGGGGCGACATCTCAAGTCGTGCTGGCACAGGAGATTCCTGGTGTTTGAGTGGTCTGGGGGTTCCCCATGGGCTCTGCCAGAGCTGCTGCTGGGGCTGTAGGCTGTGGTAAATAATAGAAATAAACCTGTAAGCTCCCGGTTTCATGTCTTTACCTGTTACAAAGTGAGACAACTACCTTCCTTTTTTTCCTGCTTCGCGTGTAAATTCAAATGTTTTGCTAAGAATGAGGCAGTAAAGTACTTTCACACATGCCAGCTCTGAGTTAAATGTGTGTTATGGTTTTGACAAGAGAAGGGGAAAATAATCTGGCCATTTTGGAGTGCTGAATGTGACCAGGTGTAAGGAGGAGCAGTTTCTAAGAGAGGCTGTTCCCCCTGTGATCTCTCTCTTCTGAACTGGCTCCCTTCACCCCTTTATTCCTGCACCTGCTCTCCCTCTGCCTTGCTCTTTTAACTCAGGAATTTTTTGGCTGTTTCCCTCCACTGTGACTTTGTGCAGGTCCCTGGGAGGTTTGCTCTCAATATCCAGGGTTCTAAAAGGTGGTGTAACAGCTGGGAGCAGCTCTGTGCCTGGCAGTGGTTAAGATGTTGACCAAGATCCATAAGTGTTTCCTTTTAGGAAGGTTTTTCATTCCCAGAAGTGAATCACCAGCAACTTTCTGCCAACCAGCTGTTTGGTTTGTGTCATTGCAGCCACTGAGTACCACCTGGGCCTGCTGAAGGCAAAGCTTGCAAAATACAGAGCTCAGCTGCTGGAACCCTCCAAATCCCCGGCAGCAAAGGGCGAGGGCTTCGATGTGATGAAATCAGGAGATGCCCGGGTGGCACTGATCGGTTTTCCTTCTGTGGGGAAGGTCAGTGAAGGGCTGTGTTCACTGTGTCTGCAGGCTGTGCTTTGAAGTTTTGGGATCACAGAACCCCGGAATAGTTTGGGTTGGGAGGCACCTTAAAGCTCATCTCATGGGATCCCACCTGGAGTCCTGTGCACAGGTCTGGTGCCTCCAGCATGAGAAGGACATGGAACTGCTGGAGAGAGGACTGGAGACCTCTCCTGTGCACACGAGCTGAGAGAGCTGGGGCTGGAGAACAGGAGGTTGTGTGGAGACCTCACAGCACCTTCCAGTACCTGAAAAGGCTACAGAGAAGCTGGAAAGGGATTCTTTGTCAGGAACTGTAGTGGCAGGAAAAGGGGGAATGGGTTCACACTGAAAGAGAGAGAATTTAGGTGAGATATATGGAAGGAATTCTTCCCCGTGAGGGTGGGGAGGCCCTGGCAGAGGTTTCTCAGAGAAGCTGTGGCTGCCCCTGGATCCCTGGAAATGTCCAAGGCCAGGTTGGAGGTTGTTCCAACAACCTGGGACAGTGGAAGGTGTCCCTGCCCATGGCAGTGCTGGAATGAAATGAGTTTTGAGGTCACTTCCGACCCAAACCATCCCATGATTCTGTAATCTAGCTGAAAGTTGGAGATGGGGAAACATTCCTTCATTTTGTGTGCTCTGCTCTGTGAAACTTGTTGCCTGAAATTTGTTCTTGCCCAGCCCCAGCACTGCTGAGAAAAGGGGAATGTGCAGGATTTACTTCAATTCCATGACAGTGCCACCACCTCAGTCCCTGTGCCTGGAACAGCCACAACACAACTTCCACAGCCTGAGGGGCACTTTGGTGTTGCTTGTTTTGCTGAATCTTTTCATTTTCCTGCCTGGTGATGCTGATCTCTTACATTTCAGTCCACGTTTCTGAGTTTAATGACCTCGACTGCCAGCGAAGCCGCATCGTACGAGTTCACCACGCTGACCTGCATCCCAGGAGTCATAGAAGTGAGTAGGATTCTCCTCCAGCTGTGGAAATGTCTTTGCACGGCCACACTTATGCTGCCACTAAGGAGCAGAGACATCCAAAGGTCTCCAAAGCTGAATTTTACTTTAAACTTTTGAGTGCTGATGTAGTACTTGAACTCAGTAACTTTTTGGGATTGGCTGCATGATCAGAAATTTTATGCTGCTCTTGGACTGACCAGAGCAGTACAACAATTCTCAACTGAATTTTGTATAACCATTGTCGGTGCCAGTGACCAGCTGGCTGCAAACCTTGACAGATTTGTTTTTAATGAAGCTTTACAGAGGCAATCTGTGCTGTGATCACTTTCAAAACAAAATGCAACTTCTCCTGTCCTTGAGGGGTTTTATTAGTGGTGACCTCAGCATCCATCAGTAAAGCAAATGATAGAGAGCATGAAACTGAAAAGTGTCCAAGAGTAATGAGGAAATCTGGGTCAGGATGGAAAGGGGGAGTTAAATAATGAAAGTGACTGTATTGGTGGGAAAAGGAGTTCAGTGTAACACATTCAAGCAGAGCTGTGAGCTGCAACAACACAACAACAGCTGGAGAGCCACTGCCTTGCAAACCCTAGGAATGAGAGTCTCCTGGGTATTTTCCTGGTACTGTAAGACCTGCAGCACACCTGAATAGTTTGATCTGTCATTGTAAGAGATGTGGCACTTGTTCATTATTGAGTTTTCTCGTTAGACCAAGAAAGAAAGGTTGGTTTTTTTTTTTTTTTCCTTTCCATTCCTCAAACTTGGGAATGCATTACTGCTGTGCTGTTTTCTGCTGATTTGTTCAGCTGCAATCATGGGATGCTTTAGGGAGTCAGGATCTCATGTACAGCTGTGTGTGCTGCTGAACACAGCCCATAGCCATGGAATCTGCCTCAGGACAGAGCCATGAGCTTTGTGCAGTTTCCCTGGCCTGCCAGTTCCATCCAATTCCAGTCTCCACAGGATGTGGATCCCAAGCACATGTTTGGGGCTTTTGGGGCAGCTCAGGTGCCCTGCAAAAAGCTTTCAACTTTCCATCCTTCCATTTCCTTTTCAGTACAAAGGAGCCAACATTCAGCTGCTGGATCTGCCTGGAATCATCGAAGGAGCAGCTCAAGGTTGGCTCATGTCTGTGTTTGTGTACAGGAGGGATTTGCCCTCAGTAGTGTCCCTGGGTGTCTCAGATATACACAGGTTTCCTGGGCCAAGAGTTCCTACATTGTCTTTCCAAATTTTTGAGTCCTTGATCCTATGTGAGGCACGATTCCTATCCCTAAGCCCACGTAAGGCTCTATATGTAGCACAAAGATGGTTTTCTGGAGGTGGGAGCCAAAGCAAGCCAGTCACTTCTCACCTCCTTGCCTGAGTGTTAAATGGCTCATCTGTTTTCTGGTACTGGGGAAATCTATAGAAAGATGCTGGAGAGGCGGAGGGGGAATTACAGCTAAACACTAACCTTGTTTGAGTAATTCCCTGAGTTCCTGCCACTCCTCCCATGACTCCTCATTCTGGGAAGAGATGTTGGCTTTGTGTCTCTGTATTGTCATTGTCCTCCTTGGCTGGTTGTGCCTGAAAATAGCTTAGGAAATCAGAGTCATGGAACATCTGGGAAGGGACCCACAGGGATCATCCAGTCCAACTCCTGGGCCTGTCCAGGACACTCCAACAATCCCACCCTGTGCCTGGTGTTGTCTAAACACTCCTGGAGCTCTGGCAGCCTTGGGGCTGTGACCATGCCCTGAGGAGCCTGATCAGTGTTTCCCTCACCCTCTGAGGGAAGAATCTTTTCCTAATATCCAACCTAATCCCCCCTGACACTGCTCCAGCCATTCCCTTGGGTCACCAGAACAGTGCCTGTGTTTCCTAAGGCACCTTCTGGCACTGATCTCCTCTCTGCCGAGCTCTCTGTGCTGCCTGCAGCTGCTGCCAGGGCTTTCAGCAGCTGACTGCAGGTAGAACAGCACTGCAGGATATTTTTCCTTGCTTTCAAGCTGCTGCACGGGGCAGGGAGTCCCCATCTGTCACAGAACTCAGCTGGTTCCTCTTGCTGATGTGCCTCCACCTCCTGTCTCCCCAGGGAAGGGCAGAGGCCGGCAGGTGATTGCTGTGGCCAGGACAGCAGATGTCGTGATCATGATGCTGGATGCCACCAAGGGTGAGGTGCAGAGGTGAGTGTGTGCTGGGCACGAGGGTTCTGGGCTTGAAAACATGCCAGCTCCCTGAGGAATTGTGGAGAGCACCTGGGGAATGAGGAATTCAATTACTGAGTGCTAAATGGTGGTTGTATTCCATGAGAAGCATCCTACTGATTGGAGTGGGTGCTCAGGTCATTGCTACAGCATGGCTGTCAGGGGTGGGAATGTCAACCTGGACTTCTACCACAAACTGACCTGGATTAGGGAGGTTTTGGGCTGTAATGGAAGGGCTGTATCCACACAAGAGTTGGAAAGGGAAAGGTCTAGGTGTCACCTGGCCGTGCTCAGCCTCAGAGGTGCTGTGTTCCTGCAGGGCCTTGCTGGAGAAAGAACTGGAATCTGTAGGAATCCGGCTGAACAAAAGCAAACCAAATATCTATTTCAAGGTGAGGCTTCCTGAGCTTCTGCAGGCACAGCTTGTCTGCCTGCCTGCTCAAAGCTGAGCTCACTCTGTGCTGCCCCTCGTGTTGGACAGGCTGAGGGGGCTGTGGGTTTTGCAGAATGTTCTTACATTGTTTTTTTGCCTCCTGCAGCCCAAGAAGGGTGGAGGTATCTCCTTCAACTCCACTGTCACATTGACTCAGTGCTCTGAGAAGCTGGTTCAGCTCATCCTCCACGAATACAGTATCCTTTTCTAAAATGGGGAAACCCTTAAGCCATCAGCAGCTCATGGTTCAAGTGTTTCCTGCTGTGGGACAGCCTTGGTGTCACTTTGGTGCTGGCTGGTTGGCAGCAGGCTGTCACCAGAGAGCTCAGCCCCGTGTGTTGTGTTGGGATTTGGGCCTTGACTGTGTCCACCTCAGAAATCTTCAACGCTGAGGTCCTGTTCAGAGAGGATTGTTCCCCTGATGAGTTCATTGATGTGATTGTAGGAAACAGGGTCTACATGCCGTGCCTCTATGTGAGTATCCTGGGCAGCCTGGCTGCTGTCACATCCAGCATCTCTTCCCTGTGCCAAAGGAAATATTGGGACTTCACAGAATCATGGAACAGTTTGGGTTGGGAGGGACCTTAAAGCTCATCTCATTCCACCCCTGCCATGGCAGGGACACCTTCCATTGCCCCAGGTTGCTCCAAGCCCTGTCCAACCTGGCCTTGGACACTTCCAGGGATGGGGCAGCCACAGTTTCTCTGGGCAACCTGTGCCAGGGCCTCCCTGCCCTCACAGGAAGAAATTTTTTCCAATATCCCATCTAACCCTGTCCTCTCGATTTAAAGCCATTCCCTCTTGTCTTATTACTCCATGTCCTTGTTCCTGGCTCCTAAAACAGTAATGATTTGGGGGTTTAAGAGGTGGAAAACAGCTCAACAGGGAGTTTTTTATAGGCTTTGGATGTGCAGCTGTGCTGTGTGTGTTCCCTGGGCCCTCTTGTGGCTGATGCTGCCCTAGAGCAGCAGTCTCCAATCCTGCTGCTGGGGCTTTGCTCCCACGTGTGGAACCTCTGATTCCCCTGCTGCCAGCTCCATGCTTCACTTTTCACATCTGGTCCCTTGTGTGCCAGAGGTCCCTTTAGGGCTCTTTTTGCAGCCACTGGGTCTGTATGAAATCAAAGACACCGGAGAACATGTTCCAAGTCATCCCAGAGGGAGAATTTTAAAAGGCCAAAATTTATATTCAAGCTTCTGAATTTTAATAGTTTGTTTTACTGAGAGTCTTGGCTTATCTTCAAACAGGATCTGTGTTCCTGTTTCAGGTGCTGGAGCTACCCTGTTATTTGTACTTGTTGATGAATTGCCTTTCTAAGGGCTGTGTTGTTTTTCCTTTGGTTTAGGTTTATAACAAGATTGACCAGATATCCATGGAGGAGGTGGATCGTCTTGCTCGGAGGCCCCACAGTGTTGTCATCAGGTAGGAGCTGTCATGTTGCCTTTTCTGCTGGTCTGCCTGGTGTGGGGTTCATTTCACATCCCTTTCTCCAGCTTCTCCCAGGGCTGCTGGGGTGAGAAGCAGAGCTGCTGTGCAGCTTTTCCCAGATTTCCTTCCCCTGGAGAGGCAGGCAACTTGGCTTCTCCATGCTGTCTGCAGGACAGACTCAGTCTGGCTTGCTTCCTTAGAAATGCTGATAGATCTGTTGGGGCTTTGCTGCTTCAAAGCTGTTCACCCTTCTGTGGAATCATGGAATAGTTTGGGTTGGAAGGGACCTTAAAGCTCATCTCATTCCACCCCCTTCCACTAGATCAGTTTGCTCCAGGCCCCATAGCCTTGAACAATTCCAGGGATGGAGCAGCCAGAAGCTCTCTGTGTAACCTGTTCCAGTCTTTCTCCACCCCTTTCGTAAGGAATTTCTTCCTAATATCTAATATAATCCTACCCTCTCTCAGAGCCATTTTACCTTCTGTTTTTCCTTTCCTTGCCTCATTAAAGACTTTGCCTTCATTCTCCGGCACTTTAATAAAGACATTTCACCTTGTTCTTCTGGATCCCTAAATCACAACAGCAATAAACAGATAATCCTGGTGTTTTGCAGCTGTGGCATGAAGCTGAATCTGGATTACTTGCTGGAAAAGCTCTGGGAGTACCTGGCACTCACCTGCATTTACACCAAGAAACGGGGACGTAAGTGACCACGAGCTGAACAGAATGTTTGAAAGACACAAATGCTGCTGCTGCTCATGGAAGGCAGACAGGCTGCCAGCAGGGCTGGTGCCTTGGAAATGCTGGGATTAAACCCTCCCTAATCATCTTTCAGCTCTTGGGAAATGCTTCCTGTTCTGTCTGATCCTGCCATGTGTGGATCCCACCATGGCCGTCCTGTTGTATTTTACAAGAGCTGAATTTTCATAAGTCTTTGCATGATGTAAGAGAATAAAGGGTGTAAGTTGATAGCTTTTTTCCTTTTTATGCACACTGTGTTGAACTGTTCAGCCCATCACAACCCAGAAGAAGTTTCCTGTCCCTGCTTCAAGAAATTTGGTGATTCCCATGGCCTTGGAGCTGCCTTTGATCCTCCTTTTGCTTTATAACCCACTTGCAGCTTCTCCCAATGAAGAAGGCACATTTGTAACTTGCTCTTTTTGGTTGTGAACAGCTGAAATTGGGTGGATGTGAGGAGATCAAGTAATTTTCTGAGCTTGTTAAGCTCTGAAATCTTGGGGATTTTGGTTTTCCTTGAGCAGGTGTGTTTTGACTTGGGTGGTTTTGTTTCTCTTAAGTCAAGGGTTTGGGATGAGTTAGATCAGGTGGGCTGTGAGGAAGCTGCTGACTGTGTGGAGTGGGTAATTGCACTTGTGGGTAGTGGAGAGCTGATTTGATGCTTTTAGGTACTGGATCCCTGTTCTGTCTGGGAGCAGGAAGGAGGAATTTGGGAGTAGTAAGTACAAGGTGATGTGAGATGGTGTCAGCATTTTAGAACACACTTGATAGAAATCCAATGCTTTTTTCCCCCCTTCTGTTTCTCCACAGAGAGACCAGACTTTACAGATGCCATTATTCTACGGAAAGGGGCCTCTGTGGAACATGTGGTAATTTTTCTGCATCTTTTACATTTCCCTGTGTGCAGAAGGCAGTTCCTCTTGGACCTGCTGTGATTTGTGCTTCATAAAGCTCAGGACATGTCAGTGTTTGGTTGGGCTTCTCCTTTTGTTGCCTTTTATCTGCCTCAGGTTTCTTTCACAGCTGCTATAAAAGGTTTAAACAGTAATTATTTAATGCAGCCCAGTGAAAAAGCATATGGAAGCAATGGAATAGGGCTTTATGTGGGCTGGTGATTCCTGTGTCTGTTCTGTTCAATTGATGTTAACTGGGTCCTAAAGTCTTTCTTGTAAATTCTGGCATACTCTTGAGTTTCTTTTAATTCCTGGATACTGAAAAAATTGTTTGCAAAGTGGTGTCATGTAAAAACTTAAATTTCTTCCTGTCTGTCTTGCAGTGCCATCGGATTCACAGATCATTAGCCAGCCAGTTCAAATATGCCTTGGTGTGGGTAAGTGTTAGACAGCAACTGGAATCCCTGTCTTCAGGTGTCTCTGACTGGTCTTATAACCTTCTCCCCATTTTTTGCTTCAAAGGGGACAAGCACAAAGTACAGCCCTCAAAGAGTGGGTTTAACCCATATGATGGAGCATGAAGATGTCATTCAGATTGTGAAGAAGTAACTGCTGGTGCCTGGCCTTGTCTTTAATCACTGCAATTGGAACTGACCATGTAAAAACAAAACACACCAAAAAAAAAA